TCGTTTTTTAATTACATCAAGATGTTTTTGTATAATTTCAGTAGCTTTTTCACTTTTCTCATTCTTTGCTAATTGTTTATCTATTGCATTCATTCTATCAAAAACTGTTCGTTAAAAAATTATAGCTTCATATCTAAAAGTTACATATATTTTATTAGCTTTATTTAACGAATATCCAATAAATTTAATGATTCCAAAATTTTTTTTTGAAGATTTTAATCAATTTGATCATATTTTGAATTGTTATAGCAAGGTACTGACATGCCAAACTATTTTTGACCATAGTAGGCATTTCTACATATGAATAAAATCTTGATTTTGTTAAATTTTGAATACTTTTATTGTAATAGTCAAAGAGGGGGTCCATGTCACTTTCCTACAACAATTTGTCCGACAGCTAATATTTTTAAGAATATTATTAAAAAAATAGCTGTCAGACAAATTGTTGTAGGGCAAGTGACATGGACCCTCAAAGAGGTTAAATTTGTATTTATACAGAGAACATTCAGTAATTTTTTTATTTTTTCATGATAAAAGTTATTGTATTCAAGTTTTAGAGAAGTTAGATTGGTGTTTATATTAAGAATTTCTATTATTTTGTTATCAATAACACCACAAATATTTAAATTTTTAAGTTGTTTACATTTTTGTAAAAACATTTTGATCAACTAAAATTTGACTACCTGAATTAGTTCATTATAATTAGCCTAATAATATAAAAGTGGACCAAGCCATTTTTTGATGCTCTTTCTAAATTATAAAAGACTTTAATAGAAGTAATATAAGCTGTATATTCGAATAAAGGTTTTGGAAGATTTATGTTCAGTGGAATAAATCGTTTTTATTTCTCAACATTTAATTATAAAAAATACATAATTATAATCCTTTCATTATTGAAATATCTAGCGATTTACTCCACAATAAAGCTATACCAACCCTACACCATTTACGGTTTACAAGGATACATGAAAATAAGCATCCGTGATATTCCCTAAGGTCTCTAAAGTTATTAAATATTGACATTGATTAGGTAGTTTAATCATTTTGAAAGGGCAAAGTTTATGAGGTACATTCATATGTACATACATAGATAGCAAAATCCATTAAATACGTGTTACACCCTTTAGAAGCAACAAACAAATTATAGCTTAATTAATTGTTTATAGAAAATTTTTGCTTAAAAATAGCCAGTTCAAAATATAGTTAATATGGTGACATTTCATATGGCTGAAGCCTTGTTGTTTGTACTAAATTATTAGGTAAACAAATAGTACCTTTATTACTCTAAGCATTTAGATAAGCTATTCAGGTCCGTCTATTATAGGTAATCAAAAAGTACATTTAATAATCAATATTTGCCATTGCGTATTGTTCTAGCAATCATTTTGCTTGCATTAATTTATTAGTTGAGCCAAAAAAAAAATAATATAATCAAAGTTTATAAATATTTCTTATTGCATATTACTCTTGTTAATTCATTTTCTTGATCAGCAAAAGTAATTTTCAATAATCAAGTATCTATAATAAGCTTTTAAATTTGTGAATATCCCAAATTTTTACTAAGTAAAAGGGTTATTTAAATTTTGATAATTTTAGGTTTCAATCTTCAAATTACTTATCAACATTAGTTTTTCTTATTATTCTGTCTTTTATTGGGGTGTTGGAATTTTGTTTCTTTATAAAGACCTCTTTTATAAAAAAATTTACTTAACAACTATAGTGTTGCTAATAAAAATAAAAATAAATAAAGCCTTGAATTTTGGGCTAGTTACAAAATTTTGATTTTCTCTAAGAATTAAAAGTGTTAATGAAAGTTAAAAGTTGAAAATGAATTTAAGATCGTAAATGTAATTAAAATCATAAATGCGGTTGAAAAAATTATTACACATCATATAATAACAATCAAAAAAAGAAATTATGATTATTAAATTATAATATTCAAATAGATATTTTAACAACTATTATTAAATCATCTGATCTATACTTTTTTTAATCAATGAGCATAGGTGCCTCTGCTAGATTCATAAAACCTACTGCCATTTGATACTACTATCAAATATACTAACAGCATTCTTGATTCTTGAAATTCTTCTCTTTTTGACCGTCTCTAGAATTTTTGAAATTTTAAGGTTTAAAAGATCATTAAAGTTCATCTAGTGCATAAATACATGAGAAGTTTGAAAGAATGTCTAAAGGGAAAAAAAATTACGTTTTACGTCTATTGCCAGAAATATTTTGGTATTTAAGCAAAATTCATCTTTAAAATATGTTTGAATTCCTTCAATGATTTTTTGTAATGTATTATTTCATCTCTTAACAGAGATACTATCTATTAATCTTGCATGTGCACTAATGAAACTAACTACTCCTCCAATCTTATCAATGATATTATCTACAATTTTAATTATAATAGAATTGTTTGGTAGCATGTTCTTTTAATTTATTCCAAAATTTAATACATTCAGATAATTATTGGGCTATTCTATCTGATAATAACAAGATTAAATTTTTCAGACCCTTTGCTTAAAGCAAACTTTCGCTCATCCTTTGAATTTATCATGTTCAGTTATTGATGTAGGCTTATTATAATATTGTTGTCATCATTTTTGTCTTTAATTACATTATATGCATCTTAGCTATAATAAATATGAAGTGACATCAATAGGTGGTTATATCAAAATTTTAACAATGAATATGTTTAGGCCATTTGAAATTGATTCTCCATTTAGCTTACCCCACCTCTGTCTCTAAAAATTAAACAAATAGAAATGACAAATTGATTGATATAATAGCTAGTGTGGCTTCTAGGATTTTTCAGTGCTATGCTTAATTTTTATGCTTGTTTAATTTTTCCACCCTCCCTCCCCCTTGTGTAAACGTGAAAAAATAACGTTAAACGAAGTTTCAATTCAAATGGCATTAATATGATTTTTCAAAAATGTAATATCCATTAATTCTTCCAAATATTTTTAATATAAGTATTATTGTACAATTCTTTGAAAAAAATTAAAGTAGTATCACATGTTGAGTTTTTTTTAAAATATTATTTAAATTTTTTAAATTGATTTTTTTTATTATGAAGTATAAGTTGTAATAAAAATCGTATTATCTATAATATGCCAGCATATACTGTAGATAGAGCAACTCCTTTGAAAAGAATAAGAGATAGGATTATAAGAGTTTTGTTTAAAAGCCACGCCAAGAATTTTCATTATTGATCGCCAAATTATTAAATTATCGAGTTCTTTTTTAACAATAAAAATAAAAGGTTATTAATAGTCATAAAAATAAAAATAGAGGTTGGAATCGAATATTCGATTCATTGAATATTCGAATTAATTATATAAACATAAATTTGAATTGACTCAAATAAGTTCATAAAAATTTCGAATTTGACTTTACAAAATTTTAAAATTGAATTTTATAAATATTGGCAAATAATAAGCAACATAAAATGCATTATTAATACTAAATAAAATAATTTATTACAAACTTATTTCATTATCAATGCTATCAAATACCTAGACCTTTATTATTACTGAAATATCGCTAATATATTACCAATATTAGTATTTTATTAGCATAATAATTGGCAGATATATTTATAAAATTAAATCACCATAATTAAATGCTAAAAAAGTACTTTGTACATTATCAGCAATGTTAAATAGCTTATTTTTAGCAAGCTTAAATTTGAAAGAATAACGTTTTATTTTTTAGCATATACTGAAATTAGAAAACACGAGAATTAAATGTTGAAACTTTAATGAATATGCTTCTTACCCTTAATTTTAAGCATTTATATTAAGTGTTTGTAAAGTTAAATATATGTATTTTTCCAATAGTAATTCAAAATTGTTCTTGCTGATTCTAACAAAATTAATAATAATATAGGCACATAGGCAATTCATTTCACAATCCCTAGAAAATAATTAGATACATATAATTGAACTATATTGTATTACACATCTCTAACTCTCTTAGGATGTTGTAATTGCATTATTCCGATTCATAAATCTTAGAGTTGCTATAATAGCTATTTCAATTAATACTAAGGAAGCTACACCACCAATAACTGATCCAATAATTAAGTTAGAATTTTTAGAGTCCGAAACCATAGTAGTAATAACTGTAGTAATTGAATTTCCTGGAGTTGTAGTACTTTGAATTGTAGTAGTCGTGTTACTTGGAAAAGGTGCAGGCCATTGCAAATAACATTTATTGGTTATGTTGTATAGATCACGATAAATAGAATTATAATTATTAGAAAATGTCCAACCACCGTTGTCCCAGTTGAACAAACAATCTTGGCATGCAGTGTTCTTTGGGCAAGTAAAATGTGCATAGCCTTTATTTAAACCAGAAAGACCAGTAGGAGAAATATTTGATAAATAATTTGTTGCAACGCTAAGGTTTTCAAATGGGCAATATCCGAAAGTAGTATTGCTGGTTATTTGAACACCGCCAACAATACCGCCACATAACTCATTATGACAAAATACAGACTGAGCAATTCTTGAACAAATAAAGCCTTGACTACCGCCTGGAAAATTACAACCGTTGTTTATATCATCGGAGTAGCATGTCGTTACATTGCAGCAAACTTTAAATATCGTACTAGTTTCAACAAAAGAATAATTGAGCAAGTTATTATAGAGGACATTCTTATAGAGGGTGTTGTTTTCATACAAATCAATAAGACAGTTATTAAAAGCCTGGCCACTTCGGACTTGACTAATATTAGTTAAAATTAAAATTAAAAAGATGAACATTTTTTTAAGTAATTCAAATTAGTGAAAAAAAAAGAAAAACGAGAGAAAAGAAATTCATTCTGAAATGGCAGACTATTTTTGTATTTGAATAGAGTTGAGTCACCAAGTAGTTACACAACGTTAGATTTACGATCTAATTACTTTGAACCGTTAAAATCGTCAAAATAATCTAAATTACACAGGTTAATATCTGATAAGTACGTACACAATTTTCCAAAAAATACATATGAGTGTCGCCAAAAGAAACCCGACAATTTAAATATAATTTATATTTAAATTGTCGGGTTTTCTTTTGACGACACTCATATGTGTACCCATGCCAATTTATCACCTAAAAGACACGTGTTCTCAAGTACTCTCAATATGATTTGATAATGGTTAAAATTAGGGATATGTTTTAAATTTTATAATAAAGATCAGGTTGAAAATCTCGTGCTTAACTGGTCCAAGTTTGGATATGCAGGATAAATCCCGAAATGATGCTCAATTATTTTAATTGATCGTAATAATGATTACATCG